TTTCAGGTCGTATTTACTCCAGGCCAGCAGGATAAATGTTTCCTCTGTGGTCAAATGGGTCATTTAGCTGCAAATTGCGAAGGGAAGGCAAAACGAAAAGCAGGAGAGTTTGATGAGAAAGGAGATGTGGAGGTTGTGGCAAAAAAGCCATTCCAGGTAACATTTCAGTGTACCAAAATAATTAACTTCTGAATTTCTTGTTCATTCTCAAAAAAAAAAAAAATTTCTGATTTTCCTGTGGTTATTCATTCCAATGTAACTTTTCAGAATTTATTTGATGCATCTGTTTCAGTTTCTCAACATCTGGACTCTTCGGGAGTATTTGGAATATGATTTGAGAATTCCCAATCCTCCTTTTGCGATTGATTTAGAGCGTATTGTTGATGACTTCATATTTATGTGCTTCTTCGTTGGCAATGATTTTCTACCACATATGCCCACTCTGGAGATTCGCGAGGTGTGTTCTCTATAAGAACTGGTTTCATTTTGTGTATTTGTTATGACTGTGACGTTTCCCCCTAACTGAACTTCTCTACTAGTTTTGTACTAAAAAATGATATATATATTTCTTGACATGCTCTGATGGTTTTCTCTTATATTTATGGATTAATATTTCTCTAACTTCGAGAAGTTTGTATCTAAAGCTGTTGCCTGCTTTTTGGAGCCAATAATGAATTTTAAATGTAAAAAAACGAAATTTGGGGGAAAGACAAGTACTGATCATATATGAGGGAAAAAGTGCCGAACATATTGTGGGGAAAAATGAGAGAGAGATCCTGCAAAATGCATAACTGTCCCTGAAGAATGTACTGTCGTACTGCTCATATATCTAAAGCCCAAGGTGAAAAGATGAGAACTGTAGGAAGTTTGCTTTCCTGTGAGATCAAGATTATTTTATTATCAGACATATGTAACTGGTTTTTACCAAAGGAAGTTGTGTTAGCTTTATGAGTTTGATGAAAAGCAAGCAGTGAGCACCTCTTGTGTTAATGGTTGTAGTTAATGGTGTTGCATGCATATAGAGTGGAAAATGATGGTGCTTTTCACTCCCTGTCTAGTGAAGGTGTGTCTGATTGAGAGATACATAACAACGGAGTGGTATGAAATGGAGCTTCCAATTTTGCGAATGGCAAAAGTACGTTAGCCCGCTGATAAAGTATTTCGGGTGCAATGTTTAGGTTATGACATGCGACCTGCAATTTTTTTCCTTCTTTCAAGCAGGAAACTTGAGTTTCGTTGGATAATGGCTTTTGGAGATTTGCTTCTGAAGAAGGATTGCGCCTGGTCATAGCAAGCAAAATACATTTTTTTTTGTTAAGGTAGCAAGCACAATACAGATTTTGAGGAAGCAACTTGGTGTTTCCAGGGCAGTCTCCATGTTGTGTGGTGTTAGCCTATGGAAAACTTTTCAAGACACTATCTTGAAAGTGGATAATGGAAGAAACAACAGATATTTGATGGATTGGTTGATTGGCCACGCTCTTTTGGGTGAAGGATTCACGGAGCTGTTTGATATTTGTTTTTTCTTATCTGGGATTTGAGATTTCAGAGAATTACAATTGTTGGATGATGGAAAGATTCAGTTTTCTCTTGAGAGTGTTCAGTGGGACTGTTATTTTACATAAATCATAATACATCGGAATCACCCTTAACTTGGCACCATTTATACGGTGCACAACCAAACTATCTTTTGTCCTGATTACGCCTCTGAATTTGGCAGTTTGAGAGTCTTGACTTCTTAGACACTAACGTGACAAAGAGCATAAATACACTTTTTAGGTGCGTGGAGGTGAACAAAATAAAAAAAAAATCAGCTTCTAAGTAGGGTATTTTCAACCGTTAATTGCCACGTAGTCATATACAATGATTTATTTGTTCCAAATTTGTATTTCGTCTTGCTTCTTCTTAATATACAGTGCATGTTTACCCCAACTTTGTATTTCCTTTTATTTCTTCTTTAGAGGCAAAATTTTTTTTTTTTTTAACTGTGTATTTCTTCTTTTTTTGAGCCAAAACTGTAAAAAAAATTGGCTGGAACATATTGTTTTTAGCCAAATAATAAAGTCTTTAGCCAAAATAATGGAGCTCCAACTGTGTATTTCTTTTTATTCTTCTTTAGATGCAATGGCTATTTTTCCAATTGTGTATTTCCTTTTATTTCGTCTTTAGATGCAATGACAATTTGTTCAATTGTGCATTTCTTCTCTTTTGGGCCAAATTTGTAAAAAAGCTGACTGAAACTGCATTACTTTTAGCTAAATAATTTATTAATGTCAAGTGATGGAGTTTCAGCCAAATTTTTTTACTGGCCTGAAAAAGATAAACCAAGGAGTTAACAAATTTTAAAAGGTATTAAATATATTTTATTTTAAAAAAATGCCATGAGGTGAGATCTGTTTAAGGGTCGAGGCCATTGAAATGCCAAGTCTTGGGGTTAATAATGACTAGGAAAAGTTAAGTTGTGCACTAAATAAAACATGTCAACTTTAGGAGATGTCCTTAGGTATTCTGCCTTTACCAAACAAACCTGATGTTCTAGTATGGAACGGAAGTATCATAGGTACTTGCCTGTCAAGTCATTCAAACAGCAATGAAATCGGGTGCTCCTTGTAGAACAATGTGCAAAACCAAAGCATCCACAAGATTAATGTTTTTTGCCTGGACAATGACTTGGGAAGCTATCCCTCTAGACCTTTTTACAGAGAAAAGGAATGAAAATATGTAAATGATTATGTTATTTGTAAAGACCAGAACGATTCGGTCAATCATCTGTTGCTATGCTGCAAGGTGGTTACTGAAATATGGATGGTGTTCCTGCCGTATTGTTGGATGAACTGAGTTATGCTTAAATTAGCCCTTCAATTTTTTGATGCACAGAAGGGTTGTGTACTGGGCAGAACCATAGGAAAATTTTGGATTATTAAACATTAATGCGATATATGGGTGTTTGGATGGAAATGAATATAAGATGTGCTTTAAGGTGTGGCATGGTAGCTCACGATTTACAGTAGCAATACAGAAAGGTTGTATACTGGGCAGACCATAGGAAAATTCTGGATAGAAACGTCATACCAATGTAGTTCTCGAGCTCCCTTGGTTTGTAATCCATTGTGAAGCGATTAAGGATGCACTTAGTGACCCAATATTTTGATGAAATAAAACATGCTTAAAAAAAATAGGATGAACGGATGAGTTTTTTCCCCTTAAAGTTTGATTTTTGGAGAACTGCTTATAGTATTTAGTTATTTTGTTCATGAGCGAATGGGTTTCTTTTTTGCTCTAAGAAACCTCAACATTCTTCTTCAAGTTTCTTTGGCAAACCTGTTATAGGATAATCATCACAATAATCATTGTCCTTCTTTGTCCTCTTCCTTATCAGGGCGCAATAAACCTGTTGATGGCTGTTTATAAGAAGGAGTTTCGGTCTTTGGGAGGGTATCTGACTGATGCAAGCCAGGTAGTTGGTTACTCCTTTGATCGGTGACCCTTTAATCTAGATATTTGCCTGTTATAGCCTGTCTACCTAGTTATTCTTGCAATTTGTACTTAACCTTTTGATTTGCCTCTTTTACTTCTTCAGCCAAACCTTGGCAGGGTAGAATCTTTTATTCAGGCGGTAGGATCATATGAAGATAAGATTTTCCAAAAGAGATCTCGCTTACATCAGGTCTGCTCTTGTCTGACCATTTACTGCTTTTTCACCTTCCTTTTAAAAAAAATTAAAGGAAATTGTGGCTTTACTGATTGCTACTTTTGGTTTTAAGTGACATGTTTCTCTGATAGTAAAGATGACTAGTATCTTAAACATAGAAGGTGTTTATCAAAGCTCTGTCCAGTTCTCATCCATCAAAAGCAAATGAAGAACAGGGAAAACAAAAAAGAAGGATAGTGCTGGTGAACCTTATTGTCCTCTTTTTGGAGAAAAGGTTCACATGAAGAATCCTAGTAGCAGTTTTTGTGGCACTATGATAAATTTTCAATTGTATATCATTAAAATAGAGATCAAGTAATATTACTTTTACTGTATATTACTTGATTTTATAGCTATAAATACATAGCATCAATGTTCTAAGATTTATTTTTCAGTTAACCATTCTATTTTCAATGAAATTATTTTGGATCTGGCAATCGTGTCATTTATTCATTTTTTGGATAAGATCATTATTCATTCTTATTCTGCCTTTCTTTCATAGGGAAAAATGTGTTTTTCTTCTTTCTAGGACTCAATACTCTAGTGCTTGATCTCCTGCATATAAAATGATCTTCACTCTACTATTTTATGGTGTATTCAGAGACAATCTGAAAGAATCAAGCGTGATAAGGCGCAGGCAAAAAGAGGTGATGACACTGCACCTCAAGCTGAACCTGAGTCTCTGGTTCCAGTAGCTCGATTCCATGGTTCTCGCCTAGCGGCGGGTCCTTCACCTTCTCCCTATCAACAGGGAGGAGCTTCAAAATCTTGTAGACCTGATCAACTTGGGCAGGCCACCTCCAGTCTTTCCATCCTTGACAGTAAGAATGAGCAGTCTGACACTTCTGATGATAAACGAACTGTTGTCCGTGCGCAAAAAGTATCACGTTTGAGTTCCGACGCCACGATAGGAGCTGCAATAGTTGAAGCTGAGAATAGCCTTGAAATTGAAGTATGTTTTCCTGCTTCGGGAGAGGCATTTTAATGTATTCCAACTCCAGTCATTTTTAGGCTAGGTTGTATCTCATGAACTTAAATTACCTTAGGTTTTCTTATAGGAGTTGATAGTTTTCTTTAACTTTGTTATTGAAATATAATATGTATTGCTTATTAGTTTTAAACAAATTTGATTGTCTTCTAATTTTTTTCTATTCCATTTAGGTTTCTGAAAACAAGGAAGAACTGAAAACAAAGCTAAACAAGTTGCTTCGTGACAAGAATGATATTTTCAATTCAGAGAATCCTGAAGAAGACAAGGTTTGAAAATAAACATCTCTTGTCACTCCTTGGAAATTGTGCGTGTGATTGTCCTGGAAATTAATGTGGCATTTAAGATTATCATAAATCAATCTGATTGGTGAATTTGAATATTTGAGTCAAACTAGTGATTTACATAGGGTATTAAGTTCAGGTCAGTGTTTTAAAAGGCGTGGACGTAAGGCGTTTTACATATGCCTCAGAGAGGCGTAAGCCCCATGTGTATTTAATTTTTAATATTTGTAAAATAGTATTGTTAGCAAATATTTATAAACAGGTAAAATTGCATAAAAATTGAAGAAAACTATAAATACGTGAAATATATATAGATGTACTCCATCCCCATAAAAAACTAGTCAAAACAATATATTATACGCTACTTACAAGCACAAGTAACTTGAGTCGAAAAGAATAAAGTTTTTTATATGGAGGAACAAAAATGATGACTAACCTGCGATTTGAACTTTGAACTTGCTGTTATGAAAGAGAATGAAGTTCTCTTTATATTTGTAAAAAAATATTCGTTACTTTTGGGAGATATTAGCAGACTAGCGGGCAAGATAAAGAATTGGGAAATACCATAAATTAGGGCTTCGATCAATAAAAAAGATCTTGACTTTCAAAATTTAATACATTTCAGTTCCTTTTTAAAACTTTTGAGTAATTACAAGCTGACTTTTGGGAATTTGGGTATTATATAAAGGACATATTCAACAAATTTTGTTTTAATTTGAAAAAGTCTCTCGGGCTTATGCCTCACTACAAAAATGCGCCTCAAACGCCCGGGCGTACGCCTCGAATTGCTGGGCGTACGCCTCTTGAGACTTTCGCCCCACACCATCGCCTCAAGACATTTTTGGTGCGCCTCGCCCCAGGGCTCCCCCTGGAAATGCCTTTTAAAACACTAGTTCAGGTTGCTTGTATTGAAGGGATAAAATAATCCGAGTATTTGGTGGAAAAGAAGTGCTGCTGAATTGCATAGTGAGATTTATTGGCTTTTTTTGCAAAATGATAAATTTTGTTTGACTTAGTTGTTAAGAAAGTCGAAGGAATAGAAAACCTTGAACATTGTTTTAATCAATTTTTATGATAATTAATGGAAATTTTTCTTTCTTAGATTTGATCATGTTTATTGTACTTATAAAAAGATAATCTATAATCTTTATTTTAAATCCAATTCTCAAGTCAGTGCTTGTCTAAAAACTTGTCAAACCGTGGGCTGCTGCACCAGTTTATTCAAGTTTGGGACTGAGATCGTATAGGAAATGTGTTCAGTTAGAGCTATGAGTTGAGGCTTGTTAGTGGTTACCATGAAATCAGTGAAACCAATAAGTCAATTGTCTCTTTTATCCATCAAACAAGAAATAACAAAAAAGTGAGTCCAATCAGTCAAGTTTCTCTTGATGACTGCTAGTTGACTTGATCCGTCTAGAGACACCCCCCCTCCCCCCAAATCACCACCTAAAGGAATAAAAATAAAAGGTGCCTCTGAAGATTGGCATGGCAGTTGATCTGCGGATGGAAAAGGGGTTATAAAAACTCTATTAGTGGTAGTTTTAGATGGTATTTACTAAATTTTCTCGAGGGATCTAGCTATTACTTCCTCCGTTTCGAATTAGATGAGGTACTTTCCTTTTTAGTCTGTTCCAAAATAAATGATACATTTCTAAATTTGGAAATAATTCAACTTTAAACTCTTCATTTTACCCATTTTACCCTTAATGAGAAGCTTTTATAACCACATAAATGTCCTGGCCCCACAAAGCTTTTACCCTTAAACTTTAAAGACCACAAGTTTCAAAAGTTTTTTTTTCTTCTGGAACTCCCTGCCGAGTCAAACTACGTCATCTAAATTGAAACGGAGGGAGTAGTAATTTAGTATTTCCTGAAAGCAAGATGAATGGCACTTTTGGCTTATCAAATTTAGATGAATTACTACCTTGAAATTTCGTCCAAGGGAAAGTGGAAGCCATGAAGGCTGCTTATGCGAAGTTAGTGGAGAGAAAAAACGAGGAGGATAGGAGGACGAATTGGGAGAGGTATTAGACGGCGAAGAAGGAGGCGAAGTTAGCAGTTACGGCGGTGAAGACGGCAGCGCTCGAACACTTGTACGAATAACTTGAGGGAAAATGCGGGGATAAGAAGATGTACATGCTAGCCTAAGCGAGAGAGAGGAGGGTTCGAGACCTAGTACATGGAACTACATGTGGTCTACCTTGACTACATTACCTGAGATCATACTTGCGGATTGGCTTAGGTGACCTTTTCTAGTGGGTTTTAAAATGTAGTAGCCCCACTGGTAAACAGCCTGAGGGCTGGATGTTGCTTTTTTTTCTTTGAGATCTTTGGCAGCTTCTGGTATTTAACTTTACCAAATAGTCACAATATGATTATGCTCCCTTTGAATCTTTTATAGTAGCTACTGTCTACATATTTATTCTGCAAAGTTGTTATCTAATTTGTCTTTGTAGGTCAAACTGGGAGCACCGGGATGGAAAGAGAGATATTATGAAGAAAAATTTTCTGCAAAAACACCCGAGGAAATGGAAGCAATACGAAAAGACGTTGTAAGTTATCTGATCTTGTGTAGCATCTTTACTGGTTAAGGTAAAATATTGAGGTGGTTGAAAATTTAGAACTTGACATCTGTTGATTAACATTCTGCACCAAGATATAGCTTTCTGAGTACAGAATTCTTTCTGCTATTGGTATACTATTCTATATTTGAGAATGATGTATCTAAACCCTATTTGTTTGGGATATTTTCCTATTGTATATAGTAATGTTTTTTAGAAGTTCTTTCTGGAAAATAAATTGTTTATCTGACTGCTTTTTCAAAATTGTGAGAAAATAGTTGTTATTCGTTTGCTAAAGCAGGAAATAAAACATTTACTTATTACTTGATAAAATAATCAGTCCTTCCTCCATATTATTAAATCTGTCCCCATTATGTAAATGTTTTAAGAATATCTCTTAAGCAACATGCATTAGATTAACACAATAAGTTACATCCCAGCAATATAAGGAACTTTCTTTGAAAAGAAATAAACACTAGATTTTACATTTTAAAAGGGTGCGCAAGATGAGAAAAGTTACAGAATATTTTTGAATGCAATGATAGGGAGAGTAAAATGGGTAAAAACTTAATAAGAATAACTTAGAAGAAAAGGGAGGGTCAAAGTGATACCTTTAAAAAGTGTGTGGTATATTGAGGAAGTAAGTCTGGTTTGTTTTTAGTCTTATTCAGAAAAGTTTTTGAGAAATTAGTCCAACGACAAATTTCAGGATATGCTTCCTATATCACACTCCCTTGGGGTGCGGCACTTCTCTGGACCCTGTATGAAAGCGGGATGCTTCATGCACCGAGCTGCCTGCCCTTTTTAGCCCAACGACAAGTTCTTTTCAGAAGATTTTCAAAATCATTTATAAGAAATTTCTCCAAAGTGCATTCTTGAAAAACTATCCAAATAAAGCTTAGGATATCTGAATGACTACAAACTTCAGCCTTGTAGGCCACAAATGCAAATGCTGTGTATTTGAAGGTGTTGTTTGGGCTTTTTATGCCATTACGTGAGGCTTAGGGTGTTTTATGAATCTTATTGAAACTTTGGACCTTACAACAAATTTGTTCCGTCTGTAGGTGATAAAATATACAGAGGGGCTATGCTGGGTTATGCACTATTATTATGAGGGTGTTTGTTCCTGGCAGTGGTAAATTCTCCCTTCTGAATACATGAGGTTATTTTTGCTTATAATCCTTTTCTAGCCCTCTTTAGTGTGTGGATATATTGCCCTTAGTATATAGTGTACACTGTCTTGCATGTGTATTATGTACCTGGGACCAAGAACCACATGATTGCTGCACCTTGCTGTCAAATGTTGTTTGCATTTCACATGATCATACACATCCATCACGTTTATTTATACTTGAATTTTTATTCTTTCAACTTATGTGCTGTTTTTGTGCTTCATTTTTCTATGGAACAACCTTCTTCTAATTCTGCTTCTAGTTTTAGACACTACTTGTCATCATGGCGCTTTGGCTTTCATTGCATAAGTTGTTCCTATGCAGGTTTTATCCCTATCATTACGCACCATTTGCTTCTGATCTTAAGGATCTTGGGCAGCTGAATATCACATTTGAACTAGGTTCACCTTTCAAGCCATTCAATCAGCTGTTGGGGGTCTTCCCTGCTGCCAGGTTTAATCCTCTTTTTTTGCAGTCCTTAAACACCTTGTCTCTCCTGTCATTTAAAAAAGAAAAAGAAAAAAAGCTAGTTTTCACTCTTGGGAATATTGACTATTTATTGCAGTGCTCATGCTCTTCCTGAGCAGTATAGGAGATTGATGACAGACCCAACTTCGCTCATTATTGATTTTTATCCTGCCGGTATGATCTCCTTTTTTTCTTTTGATAATTGACGTTTTGTCAATAAACTTATACACGGTACAATATACTATATATCTTCTCTGCTGGTGTTAGTTTTTTGTAGTGCTTCTTCTCAATTTTAGTTACATCATGCTTTGTGTGCAGATTTTGAGGTGGATATGAATGGAAAACGCTTTTCTTGGCAGGTAATTATTAAGCACTTGTAGTTTTATTTAAGAACTGGATTCTCATATTTTGTGTTGACTTCATTCTGTATTGAAGGGTATTGCAAAATTGCCTTTCATTGAAGAAGCGAGGCTCCTAACAGAGATTGCAAAAATTGAACATTCTTTGACGGTATGATAGCTTTTGTTTCTGAATCAGTAAGTTGACTCTCTTAGCAGGATTTTGATTTGCTAATGTAGTTATTTTCATACAGGAAGAAGAAGCACGAAGAAACAGCGTGATGTGTGATATGCTTTTTGTGTCATTATCTCATCCTTTGTCTCCATGCATTTTCTCTCTTGATGATCGCTGTAAGCAGCTTACAGACAACGAACGTTTCAAAGTCAAGGAGCAGTTGGACCCAATAGCTAGGTTTGTTTGCCACTATAGCTATCTGTGCTAATGAATAGCTTATTAATTTGGACTTTCCTTTTGTTTGTGTATTTGTTTGTTTTGATTGGTACTTGTTTATTTGGACGTTGAAGGACTTTTAGACAAAATGAGAAAATTGATCAAGTCGGGGAGCATTTCTCATGACTAGCTGGCTGTTAATTGGTGCTTTTGGTTGTGTTGGGTGGATGAAATTGTCTTTTCAGTTTTCTGGTCAGCTCCAATGACACTAGTCTCAGTTCATCTTGTATCCGGTTGAGTTCCGTACTGCAAAATTTGTGCTGTTGAGTACTTTTTAAAAGTTATTCCTGTGTTTGCCTTTGTGATCCGAGTCTTTACTCGTGATTCAGCCTAGAGCTCCTTGCTAATTTCTTTCTATTCCTTATCTGCTGCTTCTCTGCATTGGATCATGTTTCTACATCATGTATGAAATTAGTATGTTTAAATCTTCTTTTCCATCGCTTTGTTCTGTATTTTCAATATTGTCTATTGTGATTAAATCCTTGCTCCAACCGCAATATTTGAAGTCCTAGCTGGACTCTTCTGATTCTCTCTAGGTCTTCTTGCAGCGGTGGGATGAACGGATACCTATCCCTTTGCATGGGAGATCCTTGTCCTCCGATTTTTAGATCACCTATTGAGGGGATGGAAGATATTAAGCAAAATCAAGTCATGTAAGAACCCAGCTTTTGGCAGCAGCATCTGTATCAATTGACATCGCTGACCAACATAGAACTTTTATGTGTTGCTCATCGGCTTTTCCTGTTCTTGCATTTCAGATGTGCAATATACAGACTTCCAGATACTCATAACCATGTCGCTCGGCCAATGGAAGGGGTTATTTTCCCGAAGAAGGTATATAATGCTGAACAAACTTACTCCAACCGATCATATACCATGAATCTATTTGTTTCTGATGTCTCAAGTTTTGTTGAAAGCAACAGATTCACCTTTCCTTCTTCCAGGTGGTTGGTTATGTGTTTGGGGGGGGGGATGCCATATTCTTTACTAGAATGCTATTCTCAGATTTCCTAGCAGTGTTTAGCGCAAATAGTGATGAGGGTCCTCTATTATACCACTTTGGTTGTTGCCTTTACATGACCGATATAGAATGAAAAACCAGCTGTGGTTATGTGGCCATGCTTGGCCAGCTTGGATAAGGTTAAACACACTATCATATGCGTGTTTCATTCATGTCTCATTACCTTTTACAAGCTTGTGCCCCTTTTTGAACTTTTTCAAAATCTTTCATTCTTGCATGCATTTATCTGTTTCTCTCACCAATGCTGTACTGTTTCTATACAGATGGTTACATTAGGTGATATGAAACCTGATCCTGTACTATGGCATGAGGATACTAGAAAGAAACCTTGGGAAAATGGACGGTATGTTGCACTATATAATTGATGCAGTGTAGTCAGTATGTCAATCTTATCTATTTAGGTTATATGTAGCTTGTGTGCATCGTTGCAGGCACCACCACCCTGGTGCAATTTCTGGTCGTCAGCTTGGAGAAGCTGCGCATCGGCTGGTGGCTAATAGTTTGCAGAAGAAAGAAGATAGGGGTGGACATGGTGATTACAGGCGTGCATATAATGGTCAGGGGCATGGCGACCAACCAGCATCCTATCCTGCTGCACATGGTCCTCCCTTTCCTTCATTTCAAACCCATAGATATAATGTTCATGAAAACACACGGCCTAGTTTCGGCCATTCTGCTCGAGATGTTGGAAATCAACCCAGATCTTCAGGTTCCTCGACTGTACGGCATCACTACGACCATAGCTATAGCGAGTCTTATGTCCCTCCTGATGTGGGTTCTTACAGTAGGTCTCACCCTCACCATGAGAGTGGTGGGCGACCTGTCACCCGCAGTAGAGATTATCGTAGTCGTGGACATCATACAGATGGAATGCAGCATAATGGTGGATACAGTTATTCCTCGCATGCCAGTCATCCTCAGCATGTAGGTCAAGTACCAGTTCCACCAACTGCTAATTTCCACCAGCAGAGTGGATATAACACTTCTACGAGCTATGAACCTTACGGGGCTGGAAGCTATAACCAACGTGGTGCTGGAAGGGCCCCTCAAACCAATCAAAATGTTAGAGGATATCATCATCCACATCCTTCAGGAAATCAGTTCTCAGCTTTAGGGAGGGGAGGAAGTAGACGGCCACCTTCTTCAGGGCATCGTCGGTAGCGGGTTGTTTTTAGCCTGGACAATCTAGGCTAAGCTCGGTTGCTGCCATAGGATGCGACGGATCTTGCAAACGACTTACTTTCAGAAGCAGGTAGAAGAACAAATAGTTGTTGCTTGTCAATGATAATTATCTGCAGGCCACTTTCTGGTGCTTGTCCTAACGGTAATGTGGTAATACTAGTTCTTTAGATCTGTTTTTTTTTCATATTCTTTGTTGTAACATAGATGTCATTAAGCTTCATTTATTAGAGCAAACACATTGTATTATTGAAAGATCAATCTTGGATGTATAAGTAGTTTGGTTTATTGCATAAATCGAAGAAAGGAAAACCTTTTCTCCCTACCTCCCTCTTAGTCTCAATTCTCACGGTCACAACCACAACTACTGCAGGTGTTTTCCTCTAGTGAAAGTACTGCATATTTAGAAAAACATTATGCGAGTAAGTCCTATTAATATTTTCTTGTCATAGCCAACCTAATCCTCTTTTCTCAAGCAAAAACTCAAAGGTCATGTGCCTACCATATTCACCAAGAGCTGTTCAATTGCTGTGTTAATTGTCATATACCTCGATGGTTCATGTTCTTCTGTCGTTCTAAGATAGAAATTCACGTAAGGATAAAGGGAATTGATATTCTCTAACTTGTATATGTATGCAAATAAGATTGCAGAAGTGCAATTAAATGGAGAAACTTTTCTAAGATAATTACTAGAAAACCAGGTAACTTTTTCCGTAACTTGTGAAAATCACTTTCAACCATTAATTTTAACTTTTCTTCCGCCACAATTAAAATAACAACACATGTTAGGTTAAACATTCTTAAAACTCTTTTATCCAATCAAACACGGTAGCTACATGAAAAAGAGGAAGTACTATTATTAACCAGACCAGATTGGAAAAGGTACTGACTAAGCGGCCGAAAGAGAGAAGCAACATCTACGCACAGTCGCACACTAATTAATTTGTTACATTTACAAATGGCTTCAAGTCCTTTCAAGATGACGTCGTCAAAGCTGCTTTACCTTGGAATGTTTTACCCCTTCTTAAATTTATTTCTTAGAGAAAAGGAGCGAAGACTTTTGGGAGTATGGGGGTAAGGTCTAATGTGATCTAGTTATGAAAATGTAATAAGTCATAAATATTACCAACAAGGTCGATATGTCCGAGTGGTTAAGGAGACAGACTTGAAATCTGTTGGGCTTCGCCCGCGCAGGTTCGAACCCTGCTATCGACGAATTAAGTTTTGACAATTTCTCTTGTATGAACTGTCTCCTCCTTTCTTATGTATAGTCGTTTATGTTCATAATTAGACAAATAGAAAGCAAGAATAAGTAATCACCACCACCTGCGAAGAACATTATCCCTAAACAAGAAACTACTGTGTGATGGATGAACCAATAAGAGCTTTTTTTTTTTTTTTCATTTTTTCCCTCAACCAATAAGAGCTTGAACAACAAAATTAAGGAAAATCACAATAGTAGGAAATTTATGTTACAAAATGGCTAGCGTAACCATCATTTGAAGGTATGAGGAAGTATGACCATGGCCTTAGTCGTCGTCGAGCAAAGGCCTTTCTCTTTAAGTCTCTATACTATATATATATATATATATGATGATGATTCATTTCGTTTCATGGTTCATTCATGCTTCTGGTTAGAGGCGGAGCTAGCATGCCGGTTACGAGTTTGATCGAACTCAGTAATTTTGGTTCAAATTCTTTATTTATCTAAAGAAATCTATTAAAATGTATAATTATTAATTTATAATTCAGTAACTTAAAAAGATTAGAATCTTGAAGCATTAACTTTAAATCCTGGCATGTGTTCCTAGGCTAATTTGGAATTGTTTCCTTTGAGACAAAAACCAACAATAAACATGGTAACCAATGCTTTGATAAAACCAATTAGTTCCCACACTCATCCTTCTTTCCTGGGTCTTTGCCTTTTTACCATCTTTTCCATAGTGTACGGCCACATGTAGGGTGAGACACTTGTATTTAAATTGTTATGGTATGGAGTCCCTTGACCACTTGACTCTTTTGAGAAGACATCAAATATGTTTTCTCAAGAGATTTATTTCAACATTAATATTTCTTGATTTTTTTGGGCATCAAACACTCTAATCAAACTTTGAACTCGACATAGTATGAATTGAATTTTGGTTAGTTAATGAGACAGTAAACGTGCAAAATGCATGGCTCTTAAATCTTTTGCCAAATGCCCAGCAGATTCAAGAGGAGAAGTTGAAAGGTGAAGTTAGGCCATTTCAAAAAGTGAGTCATGGGTCGGGTATGAATTTTTTGGGTCATGAAATGGGCTAATAAATGGATGTTGGGTCAGATGCGGATTCAAGATTTAAACCTTATGGATTCAACTTTTAAAATTTTTAGCATTGAACCCATTACATTTTTAAAGTTATGGGTTCGTATCTACTATTTTTGCAATTTTAATGAATTTTTACATATAAATTTTTACTCCGCGTTGAAAGTTATGGGTGCAATTGAACCCGCCGAATATATGCTACATCCGCCCCTGTGTTGGGTGAGGTTTTAATTTAAGCCAATAGAAAATTGACACATAATAAGTAATAATTTTTTTTTAAAATCAAAATAGGACCGTTAGTTTCCGGGGTAAAAATAGGCGAGAAAATTGATGTTAAAGGAAGTTTTTACAAAATAAGTAGACTAGAGTATTTTTAAACCAAAGAGAATAGGTTAGGAGCAGTTTTGGTCCTTCTTGCTTTAGAGTTGAGCCTAATTAAAGGAAAGTGGCCGGTTATAACTGAAAGAATAAACGTACGAGGAATTAGATCAGTGACAACGACACAAAACCAGATCATAAAATCCAATGATAAGAATCTTTTTTTATTTTTCAAACTAGCTGGTGTTTTTTTTCTTTCTTTCTTTCTTAAATTAAATTTCTTTATGTGATTATAGTCTAAAACAGTCAGATTTTTCTATAACATTCCTATATAACAATACTTCATTATAAAAGCCAAGCTGTTTCTAGAACTAAATTTCATATTATGTTATAATACATGTTCTCTATAACAACACTTCGCTATAACATCCAAAAATATTTGGAATAAACGAGACTGTTATAGAGAAGTTTGACTATATTAGGTCCATTAAGGTTTAGAACCTAATTAGTAACAAATTACAGTTCATATATTTTAATTTATCTTATATGCACCAATTGTGTAATTTATTTACATTGGCAGTGCTGTATACTTTCCTCTTTACAATCGAATTTTATTGCCAAAATGCGGACCTAGTACTCCAGCAACTATCACGTCAATGGAACAATTGACCTTCATTGCAACCTTTATTCCGAAAATAAGAAAATAAGCCTGATGAGGAGAGTTGGAAATATACACATGTTTGATAGTTATATCCAAGAATGATGCTAACATTTCTCCAAATCATGAGTTGTTCATAGTGGATAAGGCACTAAAGGAAGTCTATCTTTTACTTAAAGCCACAAACATTAAGGCAGGTTTGGTTGATCGTTTGGAATACCTTATTCCAACATAATATAACATAATACTCCATGGCTTCCACCTTATGTGATTCTTTTTGCTTTTCGAAATTTAATTTGACTAATATTTGAAACTAAATTAGATTAGATTAATTCAATATTTTAAAGTCAAAATTTTGATATTCAAAAATTATACAATAAAATAAATACTAAAAGCCGCAATTCTTCTCATGTCAATATGATGTAATGTATTTCAAATTAATATTAGTCAAAATTTACATAATTTAAATCTCAAAATGTAAAAATATTCACATAAACTGGAATGGAGGCATTATAGTATTTAGTTGATCGCATAATAAAAAATAAGCATCACATAACTAAATGCAACTTTTGATTAGCGATATTAAATAGTATTTCAATTAAATTAAGCGAGAAGTAACGTATTAAATTACTCCCTCCGTTTCAATTTATATGAACTTATTTTCTTTTTAGTCTGTGCAAAAAAGAATGACTAATGTTCATATTTGAAAATAATTTATCTTTATACAATGATTTATAACTACACAAAATATATGTGTTTCATTTACACAACAAGTTCAAAATTCAAAATTTTTTTTTTTCCTTAAATTTCGTGCCCAATTAAAGAGATTTATATAAATTGAAACGAAAGGAGTATGTGAGATAGAATGCGGAATAAGAGTACATATATTTGTAAATCAAACTAAACCTAGACATTTCCAAAATTTACGGTTATGATGAAGAAGCCCACGCCATTGCCATAGACCCTCGCACAATCAATCCCTCTCGAAAACTCCAATTAAAATGCAAAACCCCACTAAACTAATTAAAAGTGGTATCGGAGAGATTTACTCCTAAATAGATAGAATTTTAAAACGATACAATCTGGTCTTCCCTCTCTCTCCTCCCTCGCCGCCGACATCGCAACGGTTCGCCGGCGCCGTTATCTTCCATAACCATACAACAATCACTCCGTTAAGCTACATGCTCTGCTTCTCCGTTTATTAACCAACGATCAATTGCCTTGTACAGATTTTTGTTCATTCATATCAGTTATTCGATTCATCAACTGTAGGTATTGATCGGTTTCTAAGTGAAACTTTGCCTCATTTACTATCTAATTTAATTCGTTCTTTAACCCTGTGTGTGTGTGTGTGTATTCCAAGTATGTATAGTTCAAGTCGAGGTCTGTCCTTATACAACATCGGTCCTTGCTTTTACTATTTTCTCTACTGCTTTTTAGATAACTTGTGAGATATTTAGAGAACGTAATAAGTGAATTTGTTTTAGTCTCTACTCCATTGCTTAGTGTGCCATAAAGTCGCGAAAATCACAATCTGCGTAAATTATTTTGTATATGAAATGAGTGGTGCAATGCAAGGCGATTGTGTGTTTGAATACGTGAATGCTTGCTTGTCTTACTCCCATAAAAAATATAATAAATAAATTGTTTGCTTGACTGTGATTCTGGACTAAGTTGTGGCCTACTGTTCTCTTTATATTGTGCGTTTGGGGCTCAATGTTGTTCCTTTTCTTTTGGAGCTGATTAGCTAATTGAAGATTTTGTATAATCCTTAGAGTGGATTCATATGGAAATATATGGTTTATAAATAATTAAGTAGAAACAAAAAGCAATTTCATTGAGTACTCCTATTAGTATTGAAAAGGATCGGGCCCAAAATTGAGCGGAATAGAAATAGAGGATAGCATAGCCAACCAAAATAGTTTGTGATTGCAGCGTTGTTATTGTTTTTACTCGTTGCCTTGGAAACAAAAGGCCCAAAAGGAATGACATTCTTGGCACTTCCTGTATTTCTTTTTCTTTTTGTTATTAAATTTAAACTGACTGCTCCTCATAAGATTCTTTACCCTATATGTTGAACACTTGAACTCTGTATGTTCTAATGCTAGAGCGTGCTTAACGAGCACCCACATTTTTCCTTGTCACAGGAATTCAAGATGATTGGATCTTTTCTCACTAGAGGGCTTGTGTGAGTTTGAAAATATCCCCATCATAAAGTTTTGAACATTAGTAGTCCTAGTTTCCCAAATCATGATCCTTCCTTTTCCTTGTGCAGGATGGTCTTTGGTTATGCCTATCCTGCTTATGAGTGCTTTAAAACTGTGGAAATGAATAAACCTAATATTCAGGAACTTCGCTTTTGGTGCCAGTATTGGTAAATTGCAGCACACTCTTTAGACCTCTAAAGTATCTTCTCATGAATGTCACCCATAACTTCGTTATTCCTCCTAATTTTGCAGCACTCACTCTTTAGACTTCAAAAGTATCTTCTCATGAATGTCGCCTGTAACTTCGTCATTCCTCCTAATTTTCAGGATCTTAGTTGCTGTATTGACAGTTTGTGAAAGGTTTGGTGATGCTTTTGTTTCATGGTAATCATAGTAAAGTTTTAGCTGTTCATATAAACTAGTGTTAAACCGAACTAGTGTTAACCCTTTTGTTATGCTTTGAAGGGTTCCAATGTACAGCGAAGCTAAGTTGGCATTCTTCATATACTTGTGGTGCCCCAAAACTAAGGTATCCACATATATCCTCTCTTACTTGAAAGAAATTTCAATCTTTGCTAGTTCTGCTGGCCATCTTCTCCTAATTGTCTTGTCTTCGCATAAAATCATTGCAGGGAACAACATATGTCTATGATTCCTTCTTTAGACCGGTAGTGTTAAGGCATGAGACTGATATTGATCGTAGTTTGTTGGAATTGAGGACAAGAGTAGGAGATATGGCATTGCTATACTGGCAGAATGCTGCTAGCTATGCGCAGACTAGGATTTTTGATATATTGCAATATATTGCTTCTCAGTCAACTCCTCGCCCAACTCAGGTTTTCATTAATGTGTCTTAGAGTTGATCTTCCTATCTCAATCATGTGCTGTCTTTGAGTCATGCTATTAACGTAAAATGGTGTTAGTAGCTTGACATCTGAAATCTTATTTTCCTTAGGAGCACAAATTTGCTTGTCCAGTTATACAAATGACGTTGCTGTTTATTAAATCATATGGTTTTAGTAGTTTCACACCTGAGATCTTATTTGTTTGCCTATGTTTATTGCATGCATTTTGTTGCCTATCTATCATGACCTCCCACCTGCAATCTTCTCTCCACAATTGTGTTGCTGGAATTTAACTCCTGTGTTTAGAGGGTCAATTGTGACTCTTTTTCTTGAATTGCAGCCACAGAGGCAAAGCAGTAGAGGCCGCCAGCGTACAGTAACACCACCAAAACATAGATCAGCTGCCCCAACAACACGGGTACAGACTGAAGAACAACCATCTCCTGCTTCTACTGAATCTTCAAGTGAAAATGAAGCAGACGCAATAGAAGTGCTGAAGCCCTCACAACCGCCTCCAGTAGCTGCCCCTGCTGCTGGTGCTGCCGCCTTAAATGCACAAAAAGCAACTCCAACTGAAGCCTTCGTTCAAACTACCAAAGCTTCGAGTTCAAGTGAAACTCAAGTGGTGCAGATTGATCAAGTGCCTTCCTTAGACAATCAAGGCGCATCTCCTGTTGAGATAGTGATGGAGGAAGCAGTTCGAATAACACGTGCCAGATCAAGGAAGACACAGCTTGCACCCAATCCTTAACTTGTGGCATCCGGTCCTTACACATGTAAGTTTGAAAATCTGTTTGGGTGGTGGGTAAAACGATGCTCTTTAGGATAGCGAATTCAATGTACAGGTCATGTTTTCTTACATTGAGTACTGAAGTTGTCCATGATTTTTTTTGCATGGATCGAAAAGTACGAGGGGGGTCAAGTGGAGAGGGGCCACCGGACGCAATTACCATTCATGATGAACTATCCAAAATCCAAATTTAAGTGCTTCTGTTAGGTGCTTAGTGATTAGAGATGTTAAATTCATACTTCCGTTTTCTTGGGAAACTTCTAGTTTGCTGCTCCTGCTCTGACAATCATGAGCTGATGGAACTTTCAGCTTCTTAAAGAGTTACTGTAAATTCAGATAAATTTTACGCTGTCTTGGGACGCGATTTTAACTACTCAATTGGGTCACTGAATTATGAATCCGATTGCTGCATCTTAGAGAGTTACTGTAAATTCAGATACATTTTAAGCTGTCTTGGGACGCGATTTTAACTACTCAATTGGGTCACTGAAATCTGAATCCGATGTCGCAAAATTTTGCTGGCTCTACAAGTTGGTCTTTTTCTCTTTTCCTAGTCTCGCAGTGGACTAAACCCAACACCCCCCCTCAAAAATAAAAAAAAATGAAAAAGAAAAAAGAGAAAGCGCTGTGGGTTCTTCGCAGGTGTAATTGTTGAACACTCTATTGGTGGTAGCATATCTGATGCTGGGCTTCTTAGGAACTGTTGAATCTAATAATTTCTTATTTGTTGTGTGTGTAACTAAAGACTAATAATACATGAAATTTCATTGAACCAAGTACCAAGAATAATGTATTCAGTCCATAATAATCATCAAAAAGCAAGAATGCTGCTGTAGAGTATTAGTCAGAAAGTTAAATTAAAGAAATGTTCATGATGACTTAAGTTGTACTTAAATCAAATGTATTGTCATTACCAAGTAAGATCACTCAACCTTTTTGACTTATTTCCTTAAGCTGGTTTTACTAAGATAGAGATAAAAATATATAAAGTTGTGGGTGCTTATATTTAGTTTTATTATGAAAACGCCCTAATTGTTTTTAGCGTTTTTAACCTTCGATACCTTAATGAAATTTATGACTAATACTTCCATAATTAATATTTCCTTTATCTCCAAAAATAGTAGTTGTAATTATAAGGCTTCCTTAGCTTCAAATTTCAAGCGTAGAAATGGAAAACTCAGGGTATCCTTTTTTGGTTTAGCTTCAGAGATCAATCAAGAAAATATGATAATCTCTTAATATTTTCTTTGTTTTGATCATAATCATACTTTGTTTTTCAGTAACAACTTGATTAACTTCTGAAATGATTTGACACTCGAGCTTGTTGGAACCTAACTATTTTCAGACAAAAAGAAAAGATATAGCTAGAGGCGGAGATATGATTTGAAATGTATGAGTTCTAAATTACAAATACAAAAAAGTCACTGTGTTTTCTTCTAATGTAGCATCACCTCTACTGTAGCTCCGCCCCTGACTACATATGAAAGTTTTCTTCTTAATAAGGGCATAAGACCACTCCATGTGAATGCAAATTAGTCTCACTAAGAAACTAATAACAAGAAAGTAGGACGACAACCACATACCTTGTCCGTCGACAGACTCCAAGTTTGAACTTTTGGAAAGAACCAAAGCACAAATTGACAAAGAGAATGAAGTTCAAAATATGGGACAACCCTAGAATCAAAGATTAAAAATCGGATTTCGTATAAATTGTCAAATATAAAATATAAGAGGAAAACATGAAGAAAACAAATCGGGAAAGAAAAATTGAAGAGGAAAAAAGGGTCTAACTTCTAAGGGAGAAAAAGCATACACTGCAAGAGTTGGAAGGCGTCCGGCTCCGGCAGATTGTGGTAGCAACGCCGACGATCAACAGAAACAGAATCCTAGCTTTTTTGATTTGGGAGTTGAGAAGATTAGAAGAAACAACCTTATGGTTTATTTATTAAAAAGAATAAATGGAGTAGTTTAAAGGAAGGCAAAATGTCGTTTGGACTTTGAAGTTATTTGGGGATTACGACATCATTTAGTTTCTGCTTTCTTAAAAAAGAAAAATTGTAAAAAACAAGAAAATAGCTCACTGCTTTCAACAGGATTCGAACCCACATGTTCTCCAAGCGAACCCAGAACTCTTACCATTGAACCCAGATCCCTTTTGTTACTGGGTTCAACATGATATAGTTATATATAAACAATAAATTTTTCAATACAAATACAGGGTCTCGAAAAAAGTCACTGGGTTTGCTCGAACCCGCACCCTCTACAGTAGCTCCTCCCCTGTATATAGCTATGGTACATTCAAAGAAAGGCCAGGCCATTCATGCATGTAGATGGACAATATAACTACACCTGCATGAATATCATCTGAAACTATAACTAACTCGTATGATCAGTTTTTACTCGCGTTAGGCCCGATTAATCTGAATTTGCACTGCAAAAGGTCCCTACCCACTCTCTCATTAAGTGTTGAAGGGATCATATCTATCGTCACAAATAGTATGATTAATTCTTTATAGTTGTATAAGGTCAAAACCGAGTTTGCCCTTCGTATGAATAATCGAGATTGGAACATAGACCAAGGTTCAACTTCGTGTAATATCAAGTCATGATGCGAAATTAGGTTACCGAACTCGAGGCCCAGAGGTCGAGCAAAATAGAGACCGGTCAAGATCGAGATCGGCTAAGATCAAGGTCGAGCAAAATAGAGACCGGTCAAGATCGAGATCGGCTAAAGATAAAGGTCGAGCAAAAAAGAGACTGGTCAAGATCAAGATCGGTCAAGATCGAGATCAGGCTAAATAGAGACCGATGAAAGCTTATCGAGCCAAAAAATAGAAAGCCGGAATATCCGCAATTGGGCGAGAATCTCGGCAGAAATCACGGCGCATATCAATGAGAGGACAATTAATTAATCTATCATGGAATTCCTTGCTGTATTTAAAAATTATATTAAGAATAGGACCTCCTACTATATAAAAGGGGGTCTGATTATTTGTAAGGGAGATTCATTCAGATTCATAGAACATAAGGCAATATACTATCTTTTTTCTGGTTTTGATATTGAGTCATATTGTTCCCCTATCAGTTACTCTCTATTAAGTTTGAGGGTGATAAAACTTGAAGGCTTAGGCTAATTAATTCATTCGGTTAGCATTCATTTCTTCTACAGTCTATTTCGATATTCATTTATATATTTTTTCAATTTGTACCGAATTATACTATATATCCTTAGAACCGCGTATAAATTCAATTGATTATCCGTTTTTCGGGTAAACAATTTATTTTTCGGGTAAACAGTTTGGCGCCCACTGTGGGGCTAAGTATAATAGTGGTTATTTGATACAAATCTCTGTAACACACACTATTTTACATTTTCTCTTGGAAGTATCTTTGATTTCAGGCTAAAAATGACGAACTCTCAAATAATACTCCTACATATCGACAACGAATCTGGCCATCAAGGGGATAATAACAACGGAACGCCCATGGATGAAAGGCCACCCACCGACCCTATTGAAACTCGGGCCGTGGATCCAATTGATGTTAATTTGCATATGGCCATCGAAGCGAACCAACATTCCGGTCCCAAAAATAGCATCCATAGTGGAATCCGATCTGCAGCTCGAAATACCCAAAATGTTGGAGAAGACGGGATTAACCTGCGTATGATCTTCGAAATGCTGCAAGCTCAACATGTGGCGATAGCTCAGTTGCAGAGCCAAACCCAGGCACTGAGCAGGGCCGAGTTCGGTCCACCCCAAGGAGTCACCTACAAAACAGAGCCAGCTGTGGTAAGGTCAAATGAACAAGAATCAGGGACTAACCCCGAAATTATAAAGATGCTCGAGGAACTCACAAAGCGGATAGAATCATGGGAAAAGAGGATCGAAGCAAACGACAAGAAAGTGGAAACCTATAACTCCAGGGTTGATCAAATCCCGGGGGCACCACCAATACTGAAGGGTTTGGATTCCAAAAAGTTCGTACAAAAGCCTTTCCCCCTGAGCGCAACTCCCAAACTAATCCCCAAGAAGTTCTGCATGCTCGAGATTCCTAAATATAATGGAACGACCGACCCCAACGAGCATGTCACCTCTTACACGTGTGCCATTAAAGGGAACGATCTAGAGGATGACGAGATCGAATCTGTATTACTAAAGAAATTCGGGGAAACCCTGTCAAAAAGAGCAATGATATGGTATCATAATTTACCACCTAACTCTATCGACTCTTTTGCCGTGCTTGCAGATTCTTTTGTCAAAGCACACGCCGGAGCCATAAAGGTCGAGACCAGGAAGTCGGACCTTTTCAAGGTAAAGCAAAAAGAGAACGAGATGCTAAGAGAGTTTGTATCTCGTTTTCAAATGGAACGAATGGATCTACCACCGGTCACAGACGATTGGGCCGTTCAAGCTTTCACTCAAGGACTAAATGAACGAAGCTCAGTGGCTTCACAGCAGTTGAAGCAGAACTTAATTGAGTACCCGGCTATTACCTGGGCCGATATACATAATCGATATCAATCAAAGATTAGAGTCGAAGATGACTAGCTGAGGGCTCTTTCTGGTTCCGCTACCAAAAGAGACATCGATCGAGAACCGAGGATGAATAGGGATCAATACCATCCGTATAATAGAAATCGTAGGGGCAACGAACATGGGCACAACTCCATACGAGGTGAGAGGAGAAGCGATCGAGGTCAGGGCTCTCGAGGGTTGATCAGCAAGAATGATTTCGACAGGCACACCGGACCTAAGGAAGCACCACGATTGTTCGAGTATAACTTCAATGTTGATGCATCCACCATCGTATCGGCTATCGGACGCATCAAAGATACTAAATGGCCTTGACTTCTGCAGACTGATCCAGCCCAAAGAAATCCCAATCAAGTATGCAAGTATCATGGCACCCATGGCCACAAAACGGAAGATTGCAGGCAATTGAGAGAGGAAGTGGCCCGGTTATTCAATGAAGGGAACCTTCGGGAGTTTTTAAGTGATCGGGCCAAGAATCATTTCAAAAACAGAGAGTTCAATAGACAAAACGAGCAAGAAGAACCGCAAAACATTATTCACATGATCATCGGAGGAATCGATGTTCCCCAAGGGCCAGTGTTTAAACGCACTAAGGTCTCGATCGTAAGAGAGAAGCAATCTCTAGCTCAGGATTACATACCGAAAGGAACCTTGTCCTTCAACCATGCAACCCCATAACGATGCACTGGTAATATCTGTACTCATGAATGAGACTCAAGTTAAGCGTGTGTTAATTGATCTAGGTAGTTCGGCTAACATCATACGATCGAAGCTCATAGAGTAACTCGGTCTACAGGACCAGGTTGTGCCCGTGACCCTAGTACTAAATGGATTCAACATGGCATGTGAAACTACTAAGGGCAAGATAACTTTGCCAATAAATGTGGCCGGGACCATCCAAGAAATGAAATTCCACGTGATCGAGGGCGATATGAGGTATAACACCCTGTTCGGGAGACCATGGATCCACAATATGAGAGCAGTACCCTCGACCCTTCACCAGGTTCTAAAATTCCCAACACTAGAAGAAATCAAAACAATCTACGGGGAGCAACCCGCCGCAAAGGAAATGTTTGCCGTCGACGAAGTGATTCCGATATCGTCGCTCTCATCAACAAAGGGGTCAAATTCGAAGGAGGAGACCAAATAGCAATCACAAACGCCGGCCTCGACCTAACTAGAAAAGCAGGAGTCTTATGAAGATGGTGATTATGGGATCCCTCGATCCTTCATAGTCCCCGATGATTCCGACGCTACCAAATCAAAGGTCGAAGAACTGGAGCAAATCATATTAATCGAACAACTGCCCAAACAAAAGGTATACCTGGAGACGGGGTTAAATCCCGAGCTCAGGAAAAAGTTTATTCAATTTCTTATAGCTAACATGGATTGTTTTACTTGATCCCATCTTGACATGACAGGAATCCCACTAGAAATCACCACCCATAGACTAAGTTTGGATTCGAAGTTCCATCCGGTGAAGCAAAAAAGAAGATCCCAGTCCGAGGTCAAACATGCTTTCATCAAAGACGATGTAACCAAGCTTCTTAAAATAGGGTCAATCCGTGAAGTAAAATACCCCTAATGGTTAGCAAACGTAGTAGTAGTCCCTCAAAAAGGGAACAATCTTAAAATGTGTGTAGATTACAAGGATATAAATAAAGCATGCCCAAAGGATTCTTTTCCTTTGCCTAATATCGATCGCATGATCGATGCCACGACCGGCCACGAGATCCTCAGTTTTCTCGATACCTATTTCGGGTACAATCAAATACAAATGTGCCCGGATGATCAAGAAAAGACCTCGTTCATTACTAAGTATGGTACCTACTACTACAATGTAATGCCATTTAGATTAAAAAATGCTAGTGTCACTTATCAACGCCTAGTAAATCGGATGTTCGAAGAAAAAATAGGAAGATCTATGGAAGTTTACATTGATGGCATGCTAGTTAAGTCCCTGTGAGTAGAGGACCATTTAAAACACTTGCAGGAAACTCTCAGTATATTGAAGAAGTACAACATGAAGCTAAACCCGAAAAAATGTGCATTCGGGGTCGGGTCAGGGAAATTTCTCGGGTTCATGGTATCTAACCGAGGAATCGAGATCAACTCCGACAAGATCAAAGCTATCGATGGCATCACGGTGGTAGACAACGTAAAGGACGTGAAGAGGTTAACCGGGCACATGGCCGCCCTGGGGCGATTTATCTCGAGGTCCTCCAATAAAGGTCACCGATTTTTCTCGTTGCTAAAGAAGAAAAATAATTTCATATGGACCTCGGAATGCTAGCAGGCCTTGGAAGAGCTTAAACGGTACTTATCGAGCCCGCCGCTGCTACACACACCAAGGGAAGACGAATAACTTTACATATATTTGGCAGTATCGGAGGTAGCGGTAAGTGGAGTCTTAGTCCGGGAAGAATGAGGTATGCAATTTTCCATTTATTATGCTAGTCGGACCTTAAGTGAGGCCGAAACTAGATATCCCCACCTAGAAAAATTGGTGCTCACTTTGATAAGCGCCTCTAGGAAACTAAAACCATACTTTCAATGTCACCCCATATGTGTTGTAACAACATATCCACTTCAAAATGTTTTGCATAAACCCGAGCTTTCGGGACGGTTGGACAAATGGGCCATAGAAATTAGCGAGTATGATATTGAATATCGACCTCGAACAACAATTAAGTCTCAAATTTTGGCAGACTTCGTAGCTGACTTCACACCGGCCCTAGTACCTGAGGTCGAAAGAGAACTATTGATAAATTCGGGTACGTCCTCAGGAATCTGGACCCTCTTCATGGACGGTGCTTCGAACACGAAAAGGTCCGGCTCGACATCATACTAAAACCACCCACAGGTAACGTGGTTAGACAATCTATTAGAACTGTGAAATTGACTAACAATGAGGCCGAATACGAGGCCATGATTGCAGGTCTTGAACCAGACAAATGCTTGGGAGTGGAGGTGATAGAGGCCAAATCCGACTCCCTCCTCATAGTAAATCAGGTTAATGGAACCTTCGAAGTTAGAGAAGACCGAATGCAAAGATACCTAGATAATATACAAGTAACTTTTCACCGATTTAAGGAGTGGACTTTGCAACATGTGCCTCGAGATCAGAATAGTGAGGCCGATGCTCTCACAAACTTAGGGTCATCAATCGAGGACAACGAGCTCGATTCAGGGGCCGTCGTGCAACTCATGAGATCAGTAGTTGAAGAAGGTCACGCTGAGATAAATTCCACAAGCTTGACCTGGGATTGAAGAAATAAGTACATAGAATATTTGAAGACCGGAAAGCTTCCCTCGGATCCGAAAGAATGTAAGGCCCTACGCACGAAGGCAACACGATTCACTTTGACTGAAGATGGGACTTTGTTTAGAAGAACGTTCAATGGTCCATTAGCAATATGTCTGGGACCGGGAGACACTGAGTACGTTCTAAGAGAAGTTCACAAAGGCACTTGCGGAAATCACTCCGGTGCTGAATCATTGGTTCAAAAGGTAATCAGAGCCGGCTATTACTGGATCGACATGGAAAAAGATACGAAAGAGTTTGTTCGAAAATGTGACGAATGTCAAAAGCATGCGCCAATGATTCGCCAACCCGGGGAATTGCTCCATTCGATTTTGTCACCATGGCCATTTATGAAATGGGGAATGGACATTGTCGGCCCCCTCCCATTGGCACAGGTAAAGCTCAATTTATTTTGTTTATGACTGACTATTTTTCTAAGTGGGTTGAAGCACAGGCTTTCGATAAAGTTAGGGAGAAGGAAGTCATCGACTTCATTTGGGATCACATCATATGTCGATTCGGGATGCCATCCAAAATTGTGTGTGATAACGGGAAACAGTTCATCGGCAGCAAAGTAACCAAATTTCTCGATGATCATAAGATCAAAAGAATCCTATCAACATCTTATCATCCTAGCGGGAACGGGCAAGCCAAATCAACCAACAAAACTATCATCCAAAATCTTAAGAAGAGGTTAACCGACGCCAAAGGAAAGTGGAAGGAAGTTCTACCCGAAGTTCTTTGGGCATATCGCACAACCTCGAAATCCAGTACCGGGGCTACCATATTCTCAATAGTTTGTGGCGCCCAAGATCTAATACCGGTCGAAGTCGGAGAGACGAGCATTCGGTTCCGATATGCAATAAAGGAATCAAATAACGAGGCCATGACTACGAGCCTAGAACTATTGGACGAAAGGCGTGAAACCGCCCTCATCCGATTAGTTGCCCAAAAGCAACGAATCGAGAGATACTACAATCGAAGAACTAATCTTAAATATTTTAATGTAGGGGACTTAGTGCTAAGAAAAGTCACCCTCAACACCCGAAATCCTAATGAAGGGAAATTAAGCCCGAATTAGGAAAGACCGTACCAAATTCTAGAGGTCACCGGAAAAAGGGTCTTACAAGCTTGGAACAATGAATGGGGAACAACTACCAAGCAATTGGAACATATCTCGCCTAAAACGGTACTACTGCTAAGGTACGCCTTTTATTTATTCCTTTCCTATTTTCAGATTAACACATGCAGGTGGTCGACAAGAAACGACAACGAGCTTTTTAGCAAACGACATGGAGTCCTTAGGTCTGAAAGCACGTGTTGCACTCGTTTTTCCTCAGACCGAGTTTTGTCCCAAATGGGTTTTTTCGGCAAGGTTTTTAACGAGGCAACAATGAATCATGCTAACTTAGAATCAAGCCCGATTACGAATCGGCATCGGAGATCCATTCGGCATTATCCGAGGTTCCTTTGCAATCAACCTCGAATGCTGGGGGACTACCCTCGGATATGCATTATTTTCGAATATCAACTCTAGAAAGGAAACTAATTCATAAAAGGAGGATCTCGAGAAATAAGGTTTATTGTAAGGGTCAAACGGTCAAATCGAACCGTGCCCATATAGATTGCTCGAACCCTATTTCGATCGAGAATAAATAGAACTATGTTCCTTGCAAACATCTTATGCTTTAAAATTAGCAGAATTTCCTTCTTCTTCCTTCTTTGCAAAGAGCTTTGTACTTCCGAATATAAACAAGACCAAGGGCAATACTTAACCGGAATACGAACGATCTCTCCCTCATTCGGGGACTGCCATCCGACTCAAACAACCCAAGCCGTCGGGACCCCGGGAGCAAAAGACCTAATAGGCAATGCCCCAATTTCTAAAAGTCACGGCCACCCCACTCGGGAACTAATATCTCGGGCAAACCCAAATAAAACGGGAGAACAAGCCCAATGGGTAACTACCGAACTAAAAGGCTATGACCGATTTAACACGGCTCAGAGACATCCAAAATCCGTAATAAAAATAAGCCTTTGAAAATGTTAAAACTTTGGACAACCGGTCCTAAAGGCTACCCTCGGTAAAATCCCTAACTTAAGAAAGGAAACAAAGGCAAGATTTGTTCGAACCCTCGAACACAACCTTACTGTTTCGTGCTAAGGCATTTTCAACCTTTGTAAATACAAATAAAGCAAAGAAAAATTACGAGATCCAAAAGGGCAAGAAAATCCATATATTTATACACAATAATTTTTTACAAAGGCCAAATTGGTCTAAATTTACAACGGCCAAAAAACGGCCTTAGAAAAAATGCAAAAGGAAAACAAGAAACCTAATGTCCTAAGTGGCTTCGTCTTCATCGGAGGTTGCATCACCATCCTCAAGATTTTCTCCGTCTTCGGATTCACTTGAGCTGCTCTCGGAGTCTTCCTCAGGAAGGCTAGCCTTCGGGCCCTGGCTTCCTCCGCTTTGGCATTTTCAATTTCGGCCACAATATCGAAGCCCTGGACACTGACCCCTTCGAGAGCTTCCCTCCGAGCCATCATTTCGCATGTTCAACCATGCCCTTGGCCTTGGCCTGGTTGACCTCGACATCGACCCTAAACTGGGCCATTTTAGCATCAGCTCTTTTGTTAGTCTCGGTCATCTCGTATTTGGCCACTTCGAGTTCACCGGCCAAGCTTGCCTTATCAGAAACGGCCAAATCCAACCGATGCTGAAGTTCCTTGATCTGCATCGAGACCTTCTCTTTCGTAGCTCAGAGCTGGGTCTCGACCGACTCCAGTTGAGCTTGGACGATCTCCTTTTTCGAGACTAGAATGTCCATGTTCTTTTTAAACTCTTCCGCCTCGGCCTGTATCATATCTACCTGCGTTTGGAGTCGTCCGATTTGTTCAAACCTCTGTCGGGCCTGCAAAATTTGATCATTAGTAGTTATCTTCAATTCATCTTCACTATCGTGAAGTACTCGAAATACCTGCTCGGCCATCTCGGCATGCTCATCCCGATTCGTTGCCAAATCTGCCCGAAGTTTCTCACTAAGGAGTTTGTAGGTGTCACTCTTCTCATTGAGGTTCCGAACCTCGGCCTCATGCTCCTCCCGAATTCCAAGGAAAGCCTCGTGATGCAACACCAAAGCCTGCAAACAAGGAAGAAGATGTTAGAATTATCTACAACCCTAAGTGTAGAAGAAACAGTAGAGATACCCTCGAGGTTACCCGATTCAGAGCATGTTGGACCTCGTTAAAAAGGAAAGCGGCTCCTACCGCCTTCATCACGGCTTGATCCTCTTCGGTCACCAAGGACCGAAGGTAACTAGCAATCCCCACTGGGGGAGAGAAAACTCGGGCATCCTCCAAGACGGAGAGCACTATTTTCCACCTACGACCGGGATTAGCACTGGGGACCGGGAATCGGTCTGCCAGTTTTGGGATCGATGAAGACTCGCTTGTGCCCGACCATGATGCTTTCTTTGGTACCGTTAACCCAATGAACCCGATAATATCCTCTGAGTCAGTGGACTCGAGCTCATCCAGAAAACCATGGATATCAGTCGACCCCTGAATACCCTCGAAAGATCGACTTTCCAACATGTTAGCCTCACGGATCATAGCATCCGAAATCTAAGGGGATCCAGTAATGTCAATTATCCCGAGCTCGTCCCTCGAGATATCTTTTGCTGCCCGAGAAGTCCTGCCCCCTGTCTCTCCTTCGACCATCTCAGCTCGGGACGGAATGGCCTCGGCTTTTCCTTGTTCAGGAATTATGGCCAGAGCTCCCTTATCAACCTCCGCCGATTCAGAGGAATGTTGTATCACAACATTGCCCGCACATAGGCTAATTCCTCTTCTCCTTCTTCGGGCTTCTCCCTTAATCGGCGGATCGAGTCCGGAGGCTTAATACCGGAGCCCCCCTTAGGCTTGCGAGATTTCTTCGTCGATTTTTTCTTTTCCAAGACCGGGGAACTCGGAGCTTCTTTTTATTTCTCTTTGACCTGCTTCGGAGTAGGGACCTCTTCGTCAGCAGAGAAAAAGATCAAACGATAAACAATTTAAGAAAGAGACTTACCATGACTACGGGCCTCCCATCAACCCTTCGATAGTTCCATCCAAGCACGCTCAGAGTACGATCTCTATAGCACCAGACCTTCAACCCATTATTTAAGTTCCGAAATCGGTTCTGGCATCCGGGACACAGCTGTAACAAGCATAGAAAAAGTGGATCAATAAAATGAAAAGCAGAACCACAAAATTAAACGTTCGAAGGGGAATAATACTCACGATTCATGTTCTATTTGTTAGGAAACGGCATGTCATCAGCAGGGATCAGGTCCGAAGTTCTAACTCGAACGAATCGGCCCATCCAATCTTGGTTACGAGTCTCGTATATGCTCGAGAATGGTGCTTTGGTGGCTCGGCAAACAAGTTTGATTAGCCCTCCTCGATAGAGTCGGGGACTGTAAAGGCGCATGAGGCGATCGAGGGTGAAAAGACACCACTCGACTTTGCTCGAAAAGAATCGGAGGAGAATCACTATTCTCCAAACAGAAGGGTGGATCTGGCCGAGGGTCACGTCATGTCTCTTGCAAAAGGCGACGATGATAGGGTCTAAGGGACCCAACGTGAAGAGATAAGTACAAACACTTAAGAACCCCTCCACATGGGTAGTAATTGATTCTTCAGGCGATGGGACTACCACGTGCTTTTCGCCCTAGTTGCACTCCTTTTTTACTTTGTTGAGAATTTTCTCATTGATTATGTACTAGTACCTCGAGATCGGCTCACATCGGCCCGGTACCGAAGAGGGTTTTTCAACCTTAAAGTCGATGACGGTTGAGCACCTTACTAGAACGAATTTCTTAGGGTGAGGCTCCGCCGCATCCCCGCCACCGGCAGGTCGTGATGAAGAAGCGACCTCTTTTTGCGGCACTGTTTTGGAGGTTTTCGCCATTGATGATCAAAGGAAAAGAGAATTAGGGTTGTATGTGGTGTGAGAATTGTGAAGCAAAAAGATTTTTTTTGAAGAAGATGCAAGAGTAGATAAGAAGTTTTGGGTGAAAAGTTTTGAATGAATATGAAGGTTTGAATACTTATAGCCTGGTAATGACGGTTCAAAACTGGTAGTGGCCGACCAACGACTGACAGGCATTTAATGCCTTGGTAACTAAACTGACGGGACGTTTATCACATATGTCATAATCGGGCTCTTCACTGACGTCTTCACCCACCGAGTCAGAGTTCGGAAATTCATATCGTTTCTCGTCATCATCTTTCCGAGAAACGAGGGGACTATATGTATACGGTCAAAACCGAGTTTACCTTTCGTATGAATAATCGAGATTGGAACATGATAGACCAAGGTTCAACTCCGTGTAATATCAAGTCATGATGCGAAGTTAGGTTACCGAGCTCGAGACCCAGAGGTCGAGCAAAATAGAGACCGATCAAGATCGAGATCGGCTAAGACCAAGGTCGAGTAAAATAGAGACTGGTCAAGATCGGGATCGGCTAAAGATCAAGGTCGAGCAAAAAAAGAGACCGGTCAAGATCAAGATCAGCCAAGATCGAGATCGGGCTAAATAGAGACCGATCGAGGCCTCGATCGACCTCGATCGAGGAAAGCTTATCGAGCCAAAAAATAGAAAGCCGAAATATCCGCAATTGGGGGAGAATCTCGACGGAAATCACGACGCATATCAATGAGAGGTCAATTAATTAATCTATCATGAGATTTCTTGTTGTATTTAAAAATTATATTAAGAATATGACCTCCCCACTATATAAAGGGGGGTCTGATTATTTGTAAGGGAGATTCATAGAACATAAGGCAATATACTATCTTTTTTCTGGTTTTGATATTGAGTCATATTGTTCCCCTATCAGTTACTCTGCGATCAGTTTGAGGGTGATAAAACTTGAAGGCTTAGGCTAATTAATTCATTTAGTTAGTATTCATTTCTTCTACAGTCTATTTCGATATTCATTTATATATTTTCTCAATTTATACCGAATTATACTACATATCCTTAAAACCGCGTATAAATTCAATTAATTATCCATTTTTCGGATAAACAATCCGTTTTTCGGGTAACAAAATAGTTAACTGAGTGAATACGAGGGAAAAAAAGGACAATCATGATGCTCCGAAACAATTTTCACAGATTGGTGTTATGTCAAAATCACTAGTCAATCAGCAGAAGGGGATATGCAATCGATTACCTTATACAAGCTAAGTAATCATCACGTACTTATTTATATCACAAAGTAGTACTCCTAGTAAGGATTCAGGTAGCATCTTACGACAAACAACGTACGTCCAAAAAGCTTCTCATCTTATAAGCTACCTTTAATGCTACAGAGCTACATATACAACGATACGTGCATAAACATAGACAAAATTACACGAGTGATCAACATAGCAAGCATATTTAGACAGGAAAATATTTGTAAATGCAAAGTCTAATATTTATACATATTTGTTAAAGTCCTTTATATATATATATATATATATATATATATATAGTATTCAGGGGCACTTGCGCTTGCCACCATGGGTTGTCATGGCAAAGTAGCAGGGGCACAGCTCTTGGTTACCAGAAGTGCCAGGTGGCACACAGTTACAACGGCCACAGCAAGTGCCACATGCTCTCTTGCATATTTTCTGCCTCGACGCCAGACGGCATCTTGCCTCACAGGCTGCTCCACAATCTGCAAATTTTGTTAAGTGATCTCAAGTGGACAAAAGGAACATTTGAATGTGAATTTAGGGCAAGTCTCGAACTACGCATATACATGTAAAAAGAATAATACAATCACACTCAGAACTCATAACGATACAGTTTCGAAAAAAATATCAACTATACATATAATTCTCATTTTTCACAATCTGAAAATTGAATGAAGGGTTAGCAAAATCTTATAGTTACACATGTTTTCAGCTGATATACAGATTAAAGTTGATGTTTAATAGGAGTACTAATAACTCGGGGGGAGGGGCAGGGGAGAAAGAAAGAAAGAAGTAGCTTATATGTATACCTAATTTTGGGGTGTAGAAACTCTCTGTTGCATCCGTGTTCACCTGAATGATCAAATTCATGAGCAGATGTTAGTAACCATACAGAATTTCTATCTTCTTTAAAGTATGCAAAAAAGAAAAGAAAAGAAAAGAAAAGAAAAGAAAATAAAAAAGCTAACGTAGTATCAATTCATAAATAAATTTCAACAATCATAAGCTAATTAAAGATTATACCACTAATTGGTTGTCAGCTTCCACAAGATGAAGAACTAGTAGAGAGAAAAACACCATAGCAACAAGAATCAGTTTGGAGATAGCCATGGCTAATAGCTCTCGAAGTCCTTGCTAGTTAGTTAGCTGAAGTAACCTTTGCACTATAGTTCAAACTTAAAAACCATTCACTTCTATTATATAGATAGAGACTGAAAAGAGAGAAAAAGTGAGTAACAGCTGTAAACAGCTAGAAAAATTAAAAATTCTTTTGTTATTCCTTTCTTTGACGTGGCAATAACCTAAATAGTGGCATTAGCGGAGATGGGGGAAAGAATATGCATTTGCCTTGATCTTATATATAGGAGTAAAATAATTCCTTGCATACCAGAAAGTTCCAATTGTTATAAACAAGTCATCTTAAGATCAACTTTATCTTTGATTAAAAGATTAATGTTTATATATATAACTTTATTTTTGAAAAAATTACCATAATCTATCGGCTGTGCCTTTATTATTCCACAATATAATATCAATATTCTACCAAGGGAAACTAGGGGCTGTCTCAGAATGAACCAAACACAAGAACTAGACAAATCAAAGCTAATGCACTGCACACCTTTGGTAAAAAGGAGTCCTCTACTAGGTTAATGTCAAGCACTCTAGGCACAGTTCTATTTAAAAGCCAACAATAAATTCCTTTTGCTCCTTAGAATTTTTCTAGCCTTCGATAGTTAATGACTAAATATATACTTTCTTCGTTCATTTTTAATTGACTACATTTGATTATGCACTTTCTTTAAGAAAAAATAAATAAAGTATGTATTTTACTATTTTACTCATAATAATGATAACATTTTCAAAAATCTTGGGAAATAATTTGGGAAATGAGTAGTTAATGATAAGGGTAAATTAATTTTTTTTAATCTTTCTCTTAATTTAGTATACTGGACAAGTAAAAATAAAAATATATTTTTAATATAATGAACAAGTAAAAGTAAATGGAGTGAGTAGTTCTATAAACTAATGGTTTGGTTCGACTTGAAAAATGAAAAAAATTATATGAGTTGCTCCTATATGTTTCGTCACCATTGTGAAAAATGAAGTTAGGTTCGATTATGTCTTTTGCAAAGTTATCTTAATTAGTATAAAGAGTAAACTTTCTCTTTACTAATGAGTAAGTAAGGTGCTATAATTCTTCCTTTATGTCTTACATTTTAAATATAGTACAGGTAGGTTTTCCAGATAAACAAAACCTTGTTCCAAAAGATTATTTTTTTGGCTATTACTTCTTTGGCCTTAAGTTATGTACACCTATATTGTGAGAAATTTAAAGTATCTTTTTTATCTTAATCTCACCCACCGATGCTTGGATATGTTTGTATACATATCACAAAAGAAAGGAGGACATATATAGGCCAGGCCGGACCTCTTCATACACGATTAAGCCAAAATTTTATACTATTATCTGTTTACCCGAAAAACGGATAGAGTTGAATTTGTACGTAGTTCTAAGGATACGTGGTATAACTTAACACAAATCGTAAGGATAAATAGAAATTATCAAATATGGATTGTAAAGAATGAAAAATACACAAGGTTGGAAAGAAGATGATTTAAGGACTAAGCAAGATGAATCAATCTATTAAGCCAAAAAGAATAATCCTTCAATATAAGAGTGTATGGTATTTTAGTTACCATGTAAGCCAAAAAACTGCCCTTTACAGAAATGTAGCCATCCTCTTTATAGTGGAGGATCCTACTTTAGATATAATTAAAAATACATAGTGGGGAACCCATGATGAATCAGCTTTTCCCTAATTTCCGCCGAGATTCTCTTCCTTAGTGCGGTTGCAGCGGCTCTTGTCTATGAGCTCGAGCTTGATCGGACTCGGTGCTGATCAGTATTATTTTTAGAGCTCGATGCAGGACTTGAGCTCGATGCCGACTCGGGATCTGATAATGACTCGTACTCGGTATCGGTTGGCCTTTGCCCTTAAGCTCGATTCTATAATATTTCATCATTGTTCGATTTGGACCCGAGCTCGATAATGACTTTGAACTCGGTGTTTGACCTATACCTGAAATCTGAAGCTCGTTCGTACCATCTTCGGAATCCATCTCGATATTACGAAGTCTTCCTTTGGTCCATTATGATCCCATCACGATCAATCGTACGAAGGCCGAAATTAATTTTGACCGTATACAGATAGTCCTCTCGTTTCACGGGAAGGATGTGGTGAGAAACGATATGATTTCTCAATGGCTCGATTGGATATGCGTTGTCGTTTGCATCGAGCCCGACCATGACGTACGTGATAGCTGTCCCATCGGTTTAGCTTACCAAGGCATTTAATGCGTGTCAAACGGTGGTCAACCACCGCTGATATTGAACCGCCATTGCTTCAATCTATAAATAGCCTTTCCTTTTACCATTTATCATTTTTACATCTTTAATCTTCCAAATTTTTCTAAGTTCCTTTTCATATCTTCTGAGTTCACTCGCAAATCTGTGATTCTTTTTTGCAAAATCCTTCTTCAAAACCACCAAATCTTTGTCACCTTCTTTAAATCCAAAAAATGGTGAAAACATCAAAAACTGTCCCCCCAAAAGAAAAAGTTTTTTCTTCCCAATCTGCCGCCGATAAAACACCGGTGGATCCATAGCCTGAGGAGTGCATTCCGGCGGCGTGTGTTCTTACCTCTGATTTTAAGGTCGACAAAGGCTCTTCGGTTCCGGACCGATGTGAGCCGGTATCGAGGTATATGTGTTCGATAACCGGGGGATATCTCGAACAGGTAAAAAAAGATTGTAACTGGGGAAACAAAGAAGTGGTAGTCCCTTCTCCCGAAGAGGATATTACTACCCATGTGGAAGGGTTTTTAAGTGTGTACACTTACCCTTTCACGTTAGGCCCCCTTGACCCTGTTATCATCAATTTTTGCCGTAAATACCAAGTAACCTTAGGCTAAATCCATCCTTCTTTTTGGCGGATCGTTATTCTGATCCGTTTCTTTTTGAGAAAAATCGAGGGTATGTCTTTCACCCTTGACGACCTCATTAGACTGTACTGCCTCCGCCTCTTTCGAGGCGGGTTAATAAAACTACAGCACCGGGCTACCAAGGTTCTGTTCTAGAGTATAGATGAGGACAAAGATCGAGGTTGGATGGGAAGGTTCGTTCGAGTGAAGACGTCGGACCTAATACCGACCGAGATGATACCATTTCCCGAAGAATGGAACATGAAGCATAAGTGTAACTCGGATGTTATCTCCCATTATTTTCCCCCTTAGTTTCCTTTCTTACTGATACCCCTTTTTATGGTGCATCGGTTCCTTGGATGCCCGATGTAGTTCCCGACCTCAAAGACTGGGTACGAGCTCTGGCTTCGACTTCTACGTATGCCGAGCGTTCATGTGTTAATTGATCCGGGTAGCTCGGCCAATATCATCAGATTTAGGATCATAGAACAACTAGGTATACAAGACCAAATTGTGTCTACAGTCCGAGTTCTAAATGGATTCAACATGGCATGTGAGACCACTATAGGGGAGATAACACTACCGGTGAACACCGTCTGAACTATTCAGGAAACAAAGTTCTACTTGATCAAAGGAGATATGAGATACAATGCTCTGTTCGGGAGGCCATGGATTCACAACATGAGGGAAGTGCCCTCGACACTGCACCAGGTGTTGAAATTCCCAATGCCAGGAGGGATTAAAACAATTTACAGAGAACAACCGGCCGTAAGGGAGATGTTCGCGGTCGATGAGGTGGTCTCAATATCTGCACATTGGACACCAAAGGATCCAAACTCGGTCACTAAGGAAGAGATCAAATAGTAGGCACCGACACCAGCCCCGACCGAATCAGAAAAGTAGGGGACGTGTGAGGACGACGACTACAGAGTTCCTAGGTATTTCATAGCCCTTGATGATTCCGATGCCACCAAATCAACGTTCGAAGAACTGGAGCAAGTCATATTGATCGAACACCTGCCCGATCGTAAGGTATACCTGGACATGAGGTTAAGTCCCGAGCTCAGGTAAAAACTCATTAAATTCCTTATAGCTAACATAGATTGTTTTGCTTGGTCCTACATTGACATGAAAGGGATCCTGCCGGAAATAACTACTCACAAGATGAGGCTGGAACATAACTCTCTTAAAATCTCGTTATCCTTTTTGTCTTACCTTGAACAGGTCCGACTTTCTGGTCTCGACCTTTATGGCCCAGGCGTGCTCTTTTACGAAGAAATCCGCAAACATAGCAAAAGAATTGATAGAATTAGATGGTAAATTATGATACCATAACATTGCTCCCTTTGATATGGTTTCACCAAATTTCTTCAATAATATGGATTCCATTTCATCGTCCTCTAGGTATTTCCCTTTAATGGCACATGTGTAAGAGGTGACATGTTCGTTGGGGTCGGTAGTTCCGTTATACTTAGGAATCTTGGGTATGCGAAATTTATTTGGGATCGGTTTGGGAGCCGTGCTTGGGGAGAAAGGCCTTTGTATGAATGTTTTGGAATCTAAGCTCTTCAATATAGTGGGTGCCCCCGGGATCTGATCAACCCTGGAGTTGTATGTTTTCACCTTTTTGTTGTTTTATTCGATTCTTTTTTCTCCTTATTCTATTCATTTTGTCAGTTCTTTGAAGATCTTAGCAATTTCAGGATTAGTCCCCAATTCTTACTCATTTGACCTTACTACAGGTGGCTCCGTTCTGTGGGTGATTTCTCGGGGTGGACTGGGCTCCGATCTGCTCGGTACCTGTGTTTGAGTCTGCAACTGAGCTATCGCTACCTGTTGAGCTTGCAATATTTTGAAAAATATACGCAAGCTGATTTCGTTTTCCTCAACGTTATGGGTGTCTCGAGGTGCAGATCGAGTACTACCATGAATGCTATTTTCAGGCTCAGAACGTTGGTTTTTCTCAATATCCATATGCGAATTAACATCTAATGGTACTTCGACTCGGGCCCCAACGGCATCGACAAGCGGCCTTTCGGCCCTGGTTGTCAAGTTGTTGTTTTCTCCTTGAAGGCCAGCTTTGTTTTTGATAGGTAAGGCCATTAATTGAGAGTTCGTTGTTGCTAATTCAAAATCAAAGATACTTTCAACAACAAGTGTAAGAGGGTATGTTTAGCAGATTCATAAAAAATAACCACT